TAGCTATTGTGAATTGAGCTACAGTAATTATAGAAGTGCAGATAGTTCCTTTGTTTTCTGATTTCATTTCCCTTGGGTAAATTCCTAGGTGTGAGTTGGTTGGGTCATATGGTAGGTCTATATTCAGATTTCTGAGGTATCTCCATACTGTCTTCCATTGTGGCTTTACCAGTTTACATTCCCACCAACAGTTGATTAGGGGGTCACAATATTTACAACTGTCTAAAATAAGACTGAGAAACATTCCTCACTTCCATATTTTTATATATAAATAAGGGAAATTTAGTAAGGTGAAAATAAAAGGTTATGGGGGCTGACATCCCAGCTCACTTGGTTAATCCTCCACCTGAGGTGCCGGCATCCCATATGGGCACCAAGTTCTAGTCCCGGTTGCTCCTCTTCCAGTCCAGCTCTGTGCTGTAGCCAGGGAAGGCAGTGGAGGATGGCCCAAGTGCTTGGGCCCCTGTGCCCACATGGGAGACCAAGAGAAAGCACCTGGCTCCTGGCTTTGGATCAGCGTAGCTCCGGCCATAGCGGCTTTTTGAGGAGTGAACCAATGGAAGGAAGACCTTTCTCTCTGTCTCTTTCTCACTGTCTAACTCTATCTGTCAAATAAATAAGTAAAAAAATACAAGGTTATGTGCAAATAAGGTGTTGAGGAGAGAAAAGAGTAAATTATAGAGTTGAAATTTATAGGACAGGGAAGAGAGGTTTAGATTTGTCAGCCTCAGGTTCAAATCCATACTGCAAAACAATATTGGAAACCCATGATGCAGGCTGATGGAAAAACCAGAGGTTTAGGATTAGAAACTTGGAGTTACGATTTGTCAATGAAGACTGGATAACTAGAAAGATTAGATAAGGTGAAATTTCTCAGAACACAGAGTTATAATAGAACACAGAATTATAATAGAAACAATAGGGATAAAGGGTTAGACTTTGGCAAATACCCAGTTAGGATAAGGGAGTAGAGACTGAGCTGGAAGCTTACACATTCAACCCATGAAAACATTGCTCAGTGTCACTGGGTGAACTGTGGTGGCATATCACAGACCACAAGGACTCTGTGGATTTGAGATTCTTGTTTGGCAAAGTCTGGTTTGCCATATAAGGGTAGAAATTATCATATTTCACAGATTCCAGCTTGTCTTTCTCATGGTCTTCCTCAAGTGTATTCAGTTCCTTCAAGAATACTTCCTGGTGGTAAGAATTTTAAATACCACAACTCTTGAGAATACTTTTTCAAAAAGACATTAGTTATTTAGATAGTAAAAGAGTTTAAATTACCCACTCTTTCATATTCAGGGAGTACTTAGACTCAACAAACATCCTATGAAATTCAATAGAGAGGCATAAATTAGCATACATTCTTTTCATTTAGTAGGTATTTATTCTAGTCTTGACAGTGTGACAATGTTAGGTACCGGGGCCAAAGCTAACTCAATTCTTACTCTGCAAATTTACATCCTGACTGTAGAAACACACACATACAGAAGCATAAAAGTAAAGATAATAAAGATACATACACAAAATACACAGTACATAATTTGAACAAGGAAGTAAAATAAATAATAGTGGACCATATTTAGGTAGGTGAAGAAAAGTCATTCTAAGAAGGCAATATTTTAGGGGATGAGACAGTGTGTCCTTAAGAACAGGCTGAAGAAAGAATATTTCAAGTAAGAATTGCATGTGCAAAGGCTCTGAGGATGGAGGGAGCAAGACATGTTTAAGGATTTGGTTAAGTGAGGACAAGAGTGAAGAGAATTGACATGGAAGTTGGAGTCAAGGATCAGATTATTGCTTGAGCAGAGAGTGGATGAACACTGGACAGGGACGATCTAGAGATCACCATGCGGTGACTCTCACAGTCAATTAGTAAATGCCGGACTGAGTGACAATCAGTGTGAGAGAGAGATGGATGGATTCAGCAATAAATATGGAGATAGAATTTACAGGACTTGTTATGGATTAATATGTAAAGCCAAAGTTAGAGAAGAATCAGAGAGGACTCCCAATTTTGTTTGAGGAACAAGGTGAAAGATGGAGCTAGTGAGATAATGAAGTAGTGCCAAGACCAAGAAGGAAAATCTGCTTTTTAAAATTGATTAATTAAGTAATTTTGAAAAGCAGAGAGAGAAAGACATGGACATGGACAGGCAGACAGATCTCTCATCCCAAATGCTCACTTCCCAAATGCTCACAAATCTTGATTTCCCAAATCCTGAAGCCAGGAACTAGGAACTCTGTCCAGGTCTCCCACATGATTGGTAGGAACAAAGATACCAAGGCCATCACATGCTGAGGATCTCCTTGAGTGCACGTTAACAGGAAGCTCAAATCTGAAGCAGATCCAGGGCATGAACCCCGGTACTCTGACATGGAATACAATCTCATCAGTGTCTTTTTGGTCATGTTAAAAATCTGTTGCAGGGGCTGGTACCATGGCTCACTTGGCTAATCCTCTGCCTGCAGCGCTGGAATCCCATATGGGCACTGGGTTCTAGTCCCAGTTGCTCCTCTTCCAGTCCAGCTCTCTGCTGCAGCCTGGGAGGGCAGTGGAAGATGGCCCAAGTGCTTGGGCGCCTGCACCCATGTGGGAGGCCAGGAAGAAGCACCTGCCTCCTGGCTTTGGATTGGCACAGCGCTGTCCATAACGGCCATTTTGGGGGTGAACCAATGGAAGGAAGACCTTTCTCTCTGTCTCTCTCACCACCTAACTACCTGTCAAATAAGTAAAAAAAAATCTGTTGCAGTTTTATTTCAAATATGCTAAATTGAGGATATCTGTAAATGATATGGTCATAGATAAAAATAGCCAAATTTGAACGTGAAAAGTTATCAATTTTTTCTTCAGTAAAAAAAAAAAAACTGATGGGCATTCAGCAAAGTGAGTGACAATATGATTGGGTCACTTGTTACCCTAAATGTTTCAATGACCAGGCTTTGGTTCTTCAGTAATGATCTTGATAGTTGCATTGGTATTTAAGTTTCTCTGTGGTGTGTCTCCTACCACCTGCTTATCCCATATGCCTGAGAAACTAATGGTAGTCCCATATTTCATTAAATATTCATTTCTGAAAACAGAGGATTTTTTAATTTAATACATGCCATCTTATTAGAATGATGTTATGAGAAAGAAGGGAGTGAGAAGGAGAAAGTCTTTTTTTTTTTTTTTAAATCCATGTACTATTGACTTACTGCCCATAGTTACTGCATTGGGGTTGATTTCAAATAGGAAAAAATTGAATACTTGGTGGCCCTTCCTTAGCTTTCCTCTTGTTAGTTGACAAGCTCATTGCACTAAGTAACTAAGCAAGGTGAAGAATTGGCTACCAGATAGTTAAGTTGCTAGCTAGGAATGGATTACCCACCCCCTCCATCCTTGCCCAGAATGCTAAACCCTTACTCTTTCTGAAAAAGGTAGGAGTCTACGGCCATACCACCCTGAATGCACCCGATCTTGTCTGAAAAAGGTAGGAGTAGGGTTATTGAGAGTAATAGAAATGTGCAGAACGTGTGTTACCAGGACGATGAACTCCAAAACCCACTCACTAGTTGGGTTCACTACAATAATCTCAGAAGCTACTTGACAGTATAAGCTGAAGCACCGGCAAAGAAAGCACACTCTTCTTTCTAAGATAACTTGAGGATAGAAGGAGCAATACACAGGCAACAGAATAGAATTCAAAGTTGGAAACTATCAGTCTCATAAAGCAAGAACATTTACATGCTCTTGGAAATAATGTAGAGAAAGGTCTTGGCTGTGTATCAAAAATCTGCATGTAAGAGGGTATGTTTGGATTGGACCTTGAAGAACAAATAAGATTTAGAAAATATGGGGAGGGAAGGATATTTTATGAGAAAAATAGGGCAGAATAGTTCTGCAAGATCAAGGCGTTCTGGCCAAACCAAAAGTACTTCAGCACCCATGGAATCTGGAGGTAAGGGTAAAAAAAATAGGTTGAGACCAAAGTTGAGAAAGTTTGTTAGTTGCTCCTTTTTGTATCTAATGTACTACGCTTTATATTTCTGAGTCTTAAAATTAAGGGAATTGGCTCCACTCCCATCTCTATGGAGATGGATCCTGATTGGATCAATTGTATCCTTATATCACATTCTCATATTCAAAACTAGGAATGAACAGGAATGTTAACCGGTAGAAGGAAAGAAGATACTCTTTCCAATGTTTTCTTTTCTTAAAGATTTATTTATTTAAAAGGCAGACAGATGTGCATGTTTACACACACATATAGACATACACACATACAGACACACACAGATTTCACCTGCTGGTTCAGTCCCCAAATGACCTCAGTTTTATAGTTCCAGGTCTTGCATTTAGGTCTTTGATCCATCCTTAGTTGAATATTGTATGTGGTAAGAAATAGGGATCAAATTTTATTTTTCTACATATGTATATAAAGTTCTGCCATCACTATTCTTTGAAGAGAATATTCTTTCTCCAATGTATGTTTTTGGCAAATTTGTAAAATATCAGTTAGCTCTAAATTCATGGTTTAATCTCTGGATTCTCTTTTCTGTGCCTATAATCATGTGTTGACTTTTGTGCCAGGACTATGCTATGCTAATTACTATCGTTTTGTAGTGTGCTTTCAATTGTGATATTGTGATGCCTTCAATTTTATCATATTTTATTTTTATCACTTTGGCTATTCTGGTTTTTTTTGTGTTTCTATGTGAATTTTAGGATTGTTTTCCCTAATTCTGTAATGATAGTAATTGGTATTTTGAAGAGAATTTCATTGAATCTGTAGCTTGTATTTGGTAATATGGGGATTTTTTGTTTTGTTTTTTGTTTTTTGTTTTTTTTTTTTTTTCAAAAGGGCTCACATATTTATTACTGAACCAGCCCACTGGTCACAGCCCTAATCAAACATGTCCAGCTGTCCAGATGATGGTGACATCTTCAGCTTGATGTGGTGATAGTGACATTGTGAAATTGAGACAGAAGAAATGAGCACGCCATTCAAGTGCAATTCCTTATAGACCCAGCTTGGTTCTTCTCCAATGTCTCCTCTTGGAGTTATACCTGATTTTATTACCAGTTTTCATCCGAATCCATTGCGGAATGGGGCGGTTTTGTTTTTGTTTTTTGGCCAGGAACCTCTTGATTCTAAAGGTCTTGTGAGAAGACATGGCGAGGAAGAATCAGGGACACCCACCACGATGGCGGAGGAAAGGAGAAAGGGTAATATGGGGATTTTAACAAAACTAATTCTTTCCATCTCTGAACCTGGACTATTTTTCCATATTTTTGTCTTCTTTGATTTCTTTCACCAGTGTTTTATAATTTTCACTTAGAACTCTTTCACCTCTTTGCATCACTTCAAATGCTTTTTCTGCATTAATTGAGATCATCATATGCCAGTTGGTTTTTATTCTGTTGATGTAATGTATTACATTTATTGATTTGCAAATGTCACACTATCCTTTGCATCCCCAAGATAAATTCACGTGAACATGATGTATGATGTCTTGGATGGATTATGTTTAAAATATTTTGTTGAGAATTATTTTTGTCTATGCTCATCAAAGATACTAGTGTGTAGGTTTCTTTGTACTGTGTGTATATTTCTTTGTGCTGTCCTCATAATAACTTGGTGCAATTCCATTCTTTTCAATTTTTTGGAATATTTTGATAAGTAAGGCAGTTAGTTCATTTTTTTTTTTTGACAGACAGAGTGGACAGTGAGAGAGAGAGACAGAGAGAAAGGTCTTCCTTTGCCATTGGTTCACCCTCCAGTGGCCGCCACGGCTGGCGTGCTGCGGCCGGCGCACCGCGCTGATCCAAAGGCAGGAGCCAGGTGCTTCTCCTGGTCTCCCATGGGGTGCAGGGCCCAAGCACTTGGGCCATCCTCCACTGCACTCCCAGGCCACAGCAGAGAGCTGGACTGGAAGAGGGGCAACCAGGACAGAATCCGGCGCCCCGACCGGGACTAGAACCCGGTGTGCCGGCGCCGCTAGGTGGAGGATTAGCCTATTGAGCCGCGGCGCCGTCTTAGGTCGTCTTTAAAAGTTGTAAAGAATTCAGTTGTAAAGCTATCAAATCCTGGACTGTTTTTTTGATGGGGAACTTGAAATTACAGCTTCACTTTCATTATCTAAGTTGGTGTGGTTAGCTTTTGTATATTTTTTTATATTTGATCTTGGTAAGTTTTGTATATCTATGAATTTGATGTTTCTTCAAGGTTTTCCATTTTGTTAGCATATAGTTGTTCATCGTAGTTTCTATGGGCCTTTATATTTTTCTGGCATAAGTTTTATTTTGGCATTTCATCTTTATTTTTGTTTATTTTAATTTGAATCACTTCAAGATATTGGTGTAGGCAATGATTTCCTGGATAAGACTTGAAGAGCACACACAATGAAAGCAAAACTAGACAAATAGGATTATATCAAATCCAGAAGCCCTGTACAGTAAAGAAAACAATCAAAAGAGTTAAGAGGTACCCCACAGAATGGGAGGAAATATGTGCTAGCTACTTTTTCAACAAAGGATTCATATCTATGATGTATAAGGAACTCAAAAAACTGAATAACATTAAATAACCAGTCAAGGAATGGGCAAAGGACCAGACTATATATTTTTAAAAGAAGAACTACAAATAGCCAATGAATATATGAAAAACCTCAATATCACTAGTCAGCAGGGAAATGCAAATCATATCCATAATGGGATATCATCCCATCCTGTTAGAACAGCTGTTATCATAAAGACAAATAGTAACAAATGTGGTGATGATGTAGAAAAATGAGAACTGTCATATATTTTTGGAAGGAATGTAAGTTATGTAGTCATTTTGGAAAATAATATGAAGATTTCTTAGAAACCTAGAAATAAAACTTCCATATAATCTAGCAAACCTACTACAGGGTATATTTATATCCATAGGATATGAAATCATTATATTAAAAAGCAACAAGATGCACCATGCTTATTGCTGCATTATTCACAATAGACAAGATACATAATCAATAATGGTATGTGTTGTCAATGGTTAAATAAACTATGGTATATATACACAATGGAATATTATTCAGACATAAAAAAGAATGAAATCCTGTCATTTGAAGTAAAATAAATGGAGCTGGACTACATCATGTTAAGAAAATAAGCCAGATAAAAGAAGAACACTGCTACAAGCTCTCCTTCATATATGGAAGCTAAAAACTCAATATTATTCTCATTAGAAATTGGGAGAGTGGTAGAGAATAGATGGAGTTTGGACATAGGAACCCAATCTGAAAAAGACAGAATAAATAAAATATTACACAACATAGTGGAGAACTATAGTCCACAATAACTTATTACATAACTTATGAGCAAGTAGAAGGAAAAAGCTCCAAGTTTCCAATGTTAAAGTAATGTCAGAGAGACTGAAACATTGATTACCCTGATTTGGACAATGCACATTGTATACATGCATTGAAGTGTTGCACTGTAACCCATGAAAATGTATGCTAATTGATAACAAATTTTGGAACTATAAAAAATAAGAAGACACTCTTCTATGCATTAACTTTAGGCAAGAAAATATCTTTATCTTCAATGTGTCCTATAAGAGAATATTCTGGTTTTCACAATGCCATGAGCAAGGAATCCTAAACCTATTGAACCACAGAGAAAACAACTTTAAAAATAAAATAAATTTGGAACTAAGAAAGCAAGACCTAAGAGAAAGAGAAAGACAAACTGAGTCCTCACAGCATTCTTTTTTGAATGAATGGATTAAGCCTCATTTGAGAAAAGTGCTATTTCTGGCCTTTTAGTTACACAAACCAAAGATTCCCATAATGGTTTTAGCTAGGTTTACTTGGATACACTGTTTCTTGATATTCAAAGCATTTTTAAAATATAAAAACATTTGTTTTATTTACTTGAAAGAGTTATAAAGAGAGGGGACAGGGAGAGATGGTAAGAGATCTTCCATCTGCTAATTTACTTTCCCAAATAGCCACAACAGCCAGCGCTAAAAGCCAGAAACCACCAGCCTCATCTTTGTCTCCCACATGGGTGCAGGGACCCAGGAACTTATGCCATATTCCATTGCTTCTCCGGGCACGTCAGCAGGGAGCTTGATCAAAAGTGAACTGGAGCCCATATTGGGTGTTGGCATTGCAGGCAGTGGCATAATCCATTACACCACAATGCCAGCCCCATTCAAATCATCTTAATATGGAATCCTTGAAAGGCACATTGTTTGAAAGGCTTTGGTTGACAATTAAAGATCTACTTATATTTGTAGTCCCAAGAGTTCCACAATCTGGAGAGTAATCTATGTAGAACACCATTGAGCCAGAGTAGTCCAGAATAGAGACTGAGAAAGTCTGTCAGTCCTGTAAATTGAGATTAGTCCCATTTCTCCTCCATCCAGTGACTAGTCATTTGACTTCTGTCTCTGTATCCCAAAAGAGGATAAGAAATAATTCTGTTAAAGTGTTTCCTTGAGAAGAGCTACCTCCCTGGTGCAGGGAGCCTGACATTGTGTTTCCCTCCACTGATGCCATAGATGTATTAGTTTTTTTATTTGGTATTTAATAGAAACCAGATAAGCCACAAACTTGTAATAACTTCAGTCTATTTCAATTTTAAGACAACTTCAATCTTTGGGGCCAATGTTTCAAGTACAAGATACAGTGATCTCAATGAGGTTGAGACTGCTTAGGGAATTGCTTTCCTAAACTTTTTTCCAGTGTTTAGATTATGGCACATGATCCAGGAGTATATTATGAGTGATCCTCCTGAACTTTGTCAGAAAGTCTTTATAAATCACATTCAAGAAAATATATTTAACTTCCATATACATATAAATGAAACTTGAGAACTTAAACAAGTGGAATGAATTCTGAAAGCAGCAACTTTTCTTTTGCAGTTTAGGGGTTGAAATTTGGGGTTAGAAGGCTCTAATGGAAATAGCATGTTCTTTGAAAAACCAGAGGGTTTGCCTGACTCCTGGAAATCTTTGTATAAAATGATGGCTAATTTTGGAGTTTTAAAAATGCAGGGTTATTGCTCTAAGAAGTTGTATACTGCTAAATCTGAGCTGCTAACCCTTAATGCTTTCATCTGTAAAATGGGCTTAATCGGGCTGGCGCTGCAGCTCAATAGGCTAACCCTCTGCCTGCGGTGCTGCCACCCTGGGTTCTAGTCCTGGTCAGGGTGCCGGATTCTGTCCCGGTTGCTCCTTTTCCAGTCCAGCTCTCTGCTGTGGCCCGGGAGTGCAGTGGAGGATGGCCCAAGTCCTTGGGCCCTGCACCTGCATGGGAGACCAGGAGAAGCACCTGGCTCCTGGCTTCAGATCAATGCAGCGGCTACTGGGGGTGAACCAATGGCAAAGGGAAGACCTTTCTCTCTGTCTCTCTCTCTCTCACTGTCCACTATGCCTGTCAAAAAGGGGGGGGGCTTAATCGTTCCATTTTATGGTGGAATATAAAAGGTAAAGTGTTCTTGAGTACATACGATAATATTTATAATGTAATATATTTTATGCATCAAGTACTGTGTTATAGACATTAGTAGTTATTTATTTATCTCAATATTTTCCAGGTACTAAGTGTCAATAAATATTAATACTCAATACATGTAATATTTGTACCATTCAAATAACATAGTTAATAGTATGACTGCTACTTTCTAGATGAAAAATTGAGACACAACATTATTAAGGACTTACCTAAGGTTGCACAGGTAAAATATGGCAGAGCAGAGACTCCAAGGGAGGGTTTTGTTCACATCTCTTTCCATTTACCTAAAAGCAGTGATTAATGGGTATAGTGAATACCATTTTTTCAGATGAGAAAGCTGTCTTAGTCACACAGTCTATTTTGTGCTACTGAAACAGAATATCTGAAACTAGGTAGCTTACTGAGAACAGAGATTTATTCTTGCATAGTTCTAGAAGCTGGGAAGTCCAAGGCAAAGGCACCAGCATCTGGTAAGGACCTTCTTGTATCCTCAAATTATGGATAAGAAAGGAGCAAACTATATCCTTACATGGCAGCAAGGCAGAACAGAAGGAAACCAGTCCTTCAGTCCTTTCTATGGTAGCATAAATCTATTCATGAGGACTCAGCCTTCATAACTCAAACAGCTATCACTAGACTCTACTTCCCAAACAGTTGCATAAGTTTTGGAGGGGGCAAAAAACAATAATCTCTGTATCCTTGGAGAGATTGGT